ATCCCTAGAATTGCATCGAATTCTAACATACTTAGAGGTACGAAGTCACAAGTCAAAGGTTGACCCGTCACTTCTACCTCACACGAAGGGTAGTAGTGTTTCCTCTCCACATCGTCTCCCAACGGTGTAGAGACCAACAAGGGTTGCGTCATTTCTATCAACGGCACGTCTAAACTTTCGGCAAACGCTTCACTCACGAATGAACGTTGTGCCCCGGTATCAATGAGAATTCTTGCGTTTCTACCATTGATCTTTAATGTTCCTACATATATAAGTCATGTAAGACACACTAGTCAACGTACCGGATCGAAACGGGGCTTAACGAAAATTTTTCGGGTAAAAATACACTGGACCGGCGCCGGTTCTAGGCAAGACCGGCGCCGGTTTGCCTTCGGAGTGGCCGGATACACATAAATTGAACTGGACCGGCGCCGGTTATGGCCAAAACCGGCGCCGGTTCACCTTCGGCAACATCGGAAAATTCAAAACCGGCCCCGGTTGCGAGCACGGTGATTTTCCGACCTCTTTTTCCCCTGGACCGGCGCCGGTTATGGCCAAAACCGGCGCCGGTTTTGCTACGGCGTCTCCCGGAATTTGGTTTTCAATTCGTTTGAGTCACCCCGACCCTTGACCGGCGCCGGTTATGGCCGAAAACCGGCGCCGGTTTACCCACGGCAACCCCAAACAGACGTTTTTAATTAGAACCGGCGCCGGTTTAAGCCTCGACCGGCGCCGGTTTACCCCTGGGCAGTTTATTTTTGCAACTTTTTGCTAAGAAACCGACCGGTATCGGTCCCGGCGAGCCCGTACAAAACCGCTATCATTCTTAGCACTCAAAACATGTAATTTATCAATTGTTACAAAGGATTACCTGCAACGGAGTCGGGATTAGCCCGAGCGTCGGCCTCAGTCATCGCATAGACCCGTGCTTGAGACCTCCCCTGATTCACGGATGGCGCGTTACTCGTGCTCGCTCCCCCTTGCCCCATACTAGCATGGGGTGCTCCGCTTCGGTTCCTACTTGCCGTGGTAGCGCCGCTTGATCCCACCCCTCGGTTCCCACCAAGTTGAGGGCAATTTGGTTTAATATGCCCCGTGTCCCCACATTGGTAGCACCGAGGAGGGTCACGACACTTACCACCATGGTTCCTGTTACAGTTCCTGCATCTAATCATCATTGGGGCTTGTGAGCCCGAGTTTTGTCCACCCGTGCCTGAGCTTCCCCTAGATGGCGGTGCACTACTAGAATTTTCCTTATTTGCTGCTACCCAATTGCTGCGGTTCTTACTAAAACCGCAGCAAATATTCAAAATGTATATCTATTTGTTGCGGTTATGGAACAACCGCAGCAAATGTTTAGAAACTTTCGGTTTTTTTTGCTGCGGTCAAATAATAACCGCAGCAAACAATACAGAAATCGCACCTATTTGTTGCGGTCGTTTACAGTGGCGCAGCAAATAACCAAAAATCTCCCTTCTTTGCTGCGGTCGTTGACCAAACCGCATCAAATAAGTGAATAACCTATTAAAATCCAGTTCTTTTCAATCGCAAATTCGCAATTCTCTTCAATCCCAAGACCTAGCCGCGCCCAAAACCCCAGCCCCCCTCCCTTCATCTGTAGAGCAGAGCCGCCTCCGCGGCTCCTCGAGGACTGTGCGAAGGAATTTCACAAGCTTGCATATCGATTTCTTCTCCTTAGTCGTCTTACCTTTGCCCAACACATCGCCGCCGCCCTCCTAGCAACACGCCACCGTCGCACCCTCCCAGCAGTACACCGCCGTCGCCACCATCCTAGCAGCACATCGCCGTCGCTTGCCTTCCAGCAGGAATCCGCCATCGCCGGTCCTCTGAGTCTAGTGAACAAGCTGTACCCGCTGCTCGACGTGGAGTAACCACTGCTCCTTCATCCTGCCACTGCTTCCTGATCGCCGCCTTCTCCTCTTCTTCACTTATTAGAGGTTTATTCCTCAATCTTTTATAATTTCAAGTAGTTTGCTATAAATGTTTATCATTTTACGAAAATTTTATATTTATTTGGATTTATGAATTAAGTATTTATTTGGATTTATGGAATCTGATATGCCACTCTAAATTCAACAAAGTGAAATGAAGCACACTATGAGTTTAAATGATGTGCACCATCGAAGCCAACCCAATTCATACGGTGGTTTGGCTTCAACATAGGCACTTGTATTCTTGTTTCAACAACGCCCGTTAAGTGCTTATTAGTTTTAGAGATTAATTTTTTTATTTCAAGTGTTTAACATATGTTAATTAAGTGCTTATCTGGACTTTCAGTTTACAAACATCAAAAGGGCAGAATAATTCCTTTACAGATTGTTGGTATATAATTTCATTAAATAGAACTCTACAGTTTTAGTTCTGTTCCATGTCCTTGGTTAATCCATTTAATGAGTATTTTTATATTCAAATGTGTGTTTTGCAGGCATGCTTTTTCAACCCGGAAGAAGAACGCAGCTAGTGAAGAGAAATGACTAATAGAAGAGTTATTCAGGATTCGTTGCTCCTGACCATAACTATACTCTCAGCATCTAAAAGGTCTATTACTAACTAATGTAATTTAATCTCTATACTATGTTTATCTTCTCTTTTCCAACCAATTTCTTTCATGTTGAATCCTTGATTTTTTTCCTTAGTTTGAAATTCATGTTAACAATATGATATACTCTCTTACTACAAAGTAATGGTATTAGGATACTTATTTTTAACCTGATTATGTTAACTATTTTTAGAGCTGATGTGACTCCTAATGATTAATAACCTGACCTTTTTTTAACTGATTATGTTTTGTAATGTCATATTCTATACTTATGGTTGTGATTATTGTGGTTAAATTTCCCAGAGTGCTGAGAGAGATGTGCTTAATGAAACTAAAACTAGGATATCCATATTGTGTTCTGTTTGCTAGAATCATTTTTTTGTTACCAGTGGGAGTTCTGTTGTTATTGAGATAATAGTGTCCCTTTGCTAATTCTCTACTAAAGATAGTTGAGTTAATTTTCCCTAGATTGTCTTTGGAGAATGTCTTTCCCTTTGCTAATTCTCTACTAAAGAAGTAAAGATAAAATGTCTTTTTTTAATTTGTTTGAATTTACGGTGGATATGTTCCCCAATTATTCCTTACTAGCTACAACATTGCTCAAAATTAGTTTGACATTCACCCGATTTAATTATAGATTTATTATTTATGTTTGTTATGTTATACGTAGTAATGGTAGTATGTATTTAAAATGAAAAATGTAAATTATAACAAAAAGTATGTATTTCTGCCAACTACATTTAATTTAATGTTATTTGTTAATACAAACAATATATGTGGATGAATTTATATGAAATAACATGTCTCACAGTTCAATTTACTTTTATGTTGTTTTCAAGACATGTTGCTTATATTTTTTTTTTTTTTATGTTTTAGGTTTACTAGAGGACCAAGGAACACTACCAGGTTTCAAGGAGCTCTGACCTTACGGTCCTTACCAACTCGGTCTCGCGGCGGCTTCCAGTAACCCTGACCACACTGCCTCAACCAGCCTCGATCTCGCGGAGGCTTGCAGCGATAGGGAAATTCACGAGTCCAGGACAACATATGCCCATGTACCATTGCCCATGTACCATCCTGGCACAGCAGGTCTTTTATGGGCAACCTCCACCTGCTATGCTTCCTCCTCGGGTACACAAACAGTTCATTTTTCTTTTGAATATACCAATAGCTTTTGGATAAGTTGTTAATTTGTCTCATGTTCATCGTTGACATGTTTGTCAAACATCTTTTTGGACAACTTATAACTTTCTATCTCACGAACACTTAATTATTTTACCACAGACCCTACACAACAACTTAATCCTTTTAGAGTTTGATCAATGTGTAAAAAACAATCAATACATAGGTTAAAAGCTGAGAAATCTTGCAAAACAAAGGCTGTCAATTTTGTGTTTTTCTCCTTAGTTTCAATAACCCTTGTTAAATTTATTTAATTTGGCCGTGTATGATAGTTATACCTATTAATATGTGTTGTTGTTTCCTTCATAATATCTGATCAGAATAAATTGTTTTGTAAAGGCTGGGTTTGGATATCACCAGCAATGTACGAAAGGTGAACCCACACAACGACGTGTCGCGCTGTGAAGGGTTCCCACATAAATTCATAAAAGCAGAAATTCAAGATTATCAGGTTTCTCATTGTAAAAGTATAGGCTTTGAATTAGTAGTATTTTAAATGATGTGATTTAATCTGGAAAGCGATATAATCTGATGGTAGATTTAATGCTAATGAAATGGTTAAGGACAAGCGTATTTAGGTGGACTCGAGCGGGTTTGTGTTCCAGACTGGTATGTTCCTGTCTTATTTTGGCAGAACTGGAGTAATTTTTTATTGGTTATGATCTGGAATGAAAATCAAGCACCCCGAGGGGATTGGACAGTATGTGGTTGTTGGTTTTTAGGAATATTTTGGTGACTTGTTTATTTTTTCACAAGAAAAGATGAGATTTAATCTCAATATGTTTAAGATCTAGTTTGGGCCTTTTTTCCACACGTTTTTATACAAGTCTATATTATTTGTTTTAAATGCTTCTGTTGTTCTCTGTTTTGAATGTGTGGTTTTGTTAGACATACTTCGTATAACATTTCGGTAGATCTGATCTAAATTTGTTTAGAATTGATCTGATATGAATATTTGTGATATTATTTTTTCTAATTATAATTGTAAATGTTTTACCAATTTTAGGTTTACCAAAGCACCAAAAGAGCTTTTGTTGGGTGATGAAGAATCTGAAGTGTGCAAGGAATTGTGCATTTATGTCAACACGTGTGATAATTTTTTTTGTAAACTTTAGTGGAAAATAAAAAGATGATTTTGTATTGTATTCTTTTTAAACTTTGGTGATGTATAACTCAAAATATTGGGATTGTAATTCTGATTTGTGCTAATGAGATACGAAGTTAGTAGAAAAGATTTCTCCTCATTTTGTAAACTAGATATTATTTGATGTAAACCATGATCTATATAATTTTGGTAGAATTACAAAACAAGGAACGTAAGCCACTTTTTTCATGTATTTGCTGCGGTTGTAACCGCAGCAATAAGTCAAAGTCCACCTTTTAAAAAATAGGTATTTGCTGCGGTTCTGAACCGCAGCAATAAGTCGAAACTCATTTTTTTTTAAATAGCTATTTGCTGCGGTTCGGGACCGCAGCAAATACGTTTTTTGACTATTTGCTGCCCTGCCAATTGCTGCGGTTCAAAACCGCAACAAATAGCTAAAAATGACCGCAGCAAATAGCTATTTTTCTAGTAGTGGTGCCGGTGCCCTAAATGATCCTCCCCCCCCCATGGTTCCCCTTTTTGTTAGAACCCTGGGGGCCATGGCTTTCCCACTTTCTTTTCTTCGCCTCCTCGGCGTCTCTCTTCTTTCTCTCCTCCCATTGCTTTTCTCCCTTCAACCCTTGGGCGACCACTTGGCTGAAAGTCATGTTGGGCAATTGAGTCGCCCTATCACGTATCTCCAGGTCCAAAGCCTCCCAAAAGTGGTTCACCATTCGGTTTTCATCACAAGCATACTCCGGTATGTGGTCGGCAAGGTCCCTGAACTTGTGCTCAAGTTCTTTCACCGTCATGTTACCCCCTTGGGTTAGAAGAGTGTATTCTCTCACCTTGGCATTTACCTCAAAGTCAGAGTAGTATTGGGCAAAGAATTCTTGCCGAAAAACCTCCCAAGTAACATTCCCTCCGTACTTGCCCTTGGTTCCATCCCACCACTTGGATGCCAACCCTTCAAGTAACCTCACCGCGATTCTCAGTTTGAAATCGGGGGTGAGTTGCATGTCAAGGGCTGCCTCGTTCAGCCTCTTGATCCATTGCGCGGCCACCGAGATGTCCCCCGTTCCATCGAACGGTTTGCACCCCAAGTCCCTCGCCTCTTTGATGTATTTGGAGATCCTTATGGTTGGACCTCCATCACCTCGGCTCCCATGTGCTTCCACGTGGGTTCTTGAATCACAATAGCTCCTTCCTCTTGGAGCCCCACCCGAAGGTTGCCCCGCACGGCGCCTCCGGCGTTCTCTCCTTTCCTCACGCTCCCGATGATATTGTTGGAGCAGTGCTTCAATCCTAGCCAAGGAGCCATTTTCCTCCTCGTCGCTAACATCGTCGTCGTCCCCTTCATAAGGGGTCTCAACCGGCTCAGTTTCGGGCCGGTAGGTCGAATCCTCATAAGACCAATAGGTTTCGCTTTCCGTATCGACGTGGCCATCGCTCACGGTTTGTTGTTGTCGGCCTCCGCGGCCTCTTCCTCTTGATCCCCTAGAGGACCCCCGGCTACCGCGCTCGGACCCACCCAGTACACGGCCCGTCGGGTTCCTCCTAGTGATCCTTCCGACTGGCTCCATTTCTGAAAGGAAGTAGAATGAGTCATTAGACTCGTATCAATGTCAAGTGACGGATAGGTACTTAAAGACATCCTTTGGCTCAAATCACCGTCATACCAATTGTTAAGGGTACCATCTTAACAATTAGAGACTTTGCAACTCAAGTACCAAAAGTTCTATAAGTACAAAACTTTTATGCTCATGGTTTTCAAATTCATTTTCGAAAAGAGATTTTGAAGCTTCATTATGAAGTTTACGGACTAAGGCTCTGATACCAATTAAATTGTCACGCCCCGGACCTAACCGGACACGTCAACAATCCGCCGTACAGTACGAATAGTCAACCGCAGTCCAACACATCCATACTATACAAGGCGTCTGGAATATCATTCACACATAGTACATCCATAAACACACATAATGTAAAATATTCATTCAAAGCAGCGGAAATATTTAATAAGAGTGTTCGTGCCACACTTTGGCAAACATGGGCATACAAGCCCCCAAATGATTATTCAAAATGTAATATCCATGAGCATTAATTTAAATGTTTTTAAAACAGGAACGGAGGAAGCACGAACCACGTCTTCCTTCCTTGAATTCGCCCGGAGCAACGGGCACTGGTAGCAAGCTCAGCTCCTACCTGAAACTGTGAGGTGGCCTCCCCCGTGAAGGAGAGGTCAGTACTTGGAAGCATTTGACAAGTACAATGACAACTATACTAAGTATAATCAATGTTTCAATTTCCAAGACCCTCAATTTAGGGTGTTATTATCTCATGATTAACTTTGTTCGTTTAGTGTCATTTCATCATTTATTACCACGGTCTAGAGCCCAGCTCAATAATCACCGTTACCTACTACGGTCTAGAGCCCAGCTCAATAATCACCGTCATCTACATCGGTCTAGAGCCCAGCTCAATAATCACCGATAACTACTACGGTCTAGAGCCCAGCTCAATAATCACCGTTATCTACATCGGTCTAGAGCCCAGCTCAATAATCACCGATAACTATCACGGTCTAGAGCCCAGCTCAATAATCACCGTTATCTACATCGGTCTAGAGCCGAGCTCAATAATCACCGATTCTTTACAATTAAATTTCTTAGGATCCATTCATCCATTATTCAACTACAATCCCAACTAATATTTCAATACTAGTTATGTACTCATTTTAATGTAATTCTTCATTCAATATGTAGTTTGACCTTAATATCAAAATATCACTTTTATTCTTTCATGGCTTCTTCTCATGAATTAAAAAGCATACTTATCACAAATGAAATTTATGGTTGATACTACTATCATGCCATCATATTCATAACATATAAACATACACAATTTATTCAATAAATTTGTATGTTATGCAAACTATACTTATAATCAATAGTAATTTCATTTAGACATTAATAACCATTAATAATTCATGCAAATAACATTGTGTATTCATTTAGGAAATCTTATGAAATTAACCCAAAGATTATAAGCAATATAGTCGGTCATCCTCACCTTAAGTGAGCTTAAACGCGATCTACGCTCCCCCGGTTGAACTTTGACTAATTTCCGGTGAACTTTGACCAACTCCGGTGAACGTTGACCAACTCCGGCAAAACTCCGGCGAAGCTCAAAAATACTTTAATCAAGTTCCTAACAAGGTTTTAACATCATAAAACCTTAATCAATACAAATAACCTATAAAAGGTTATTTTCCGGTGAACTTGTCGGTTTGGCCCCTAAGTCCGTTTTTGGACATAGGACCACCTTCCAACCTATTATTCCACACTTTAATTATGTAGAACAACCCTAAAGGTCCTTCATATGATATATATCACATATGATAGAAGAAAAATAAAGGAAAAGTTAATATAAGGTGATTACCTTAATCTTTCTCACTTTTCCTAGCTTTTTCTCCCTTCAATCTTTCCCCTTGGACTTCTATTGCTTGAGCTCTCTTCAAGGATGGGAAAAGGAGGATGGGGATTTTCTTGGTCTTGCTGGGGTTTGTGCTGGCCGAGAGAAATGAGGGAGAGAGTGGGTGAGGAGTGTTTTTGTCTCTTTGATCAAATGAGTGTGGAGAGGAGGTCCACCTCATGTACCTTGATCCTTTTTCTTTCAATTCAACCCCTCCCCCATGTTTTCCATTCCCACCAGCCGGCCAACCCTTCATTTTGGGTGGCTAAAAACGTGGGTTGGCCCCCACACATGTGGGAGGTCAACCCTTTTTGTCCACGGGTGTACAATCGGTCCCGAAAGTTGTATTTTTCGGACTGTTTTAAATATATTTTATTTTATCGGGTCAAATAAAATATATTATGTGTTCTTAATCATTATACCCTTTATAATGAATATACATTCCCCAACTTTAATTTATAAGCCTCCGAAATTCGTTTCGGGCTGTTATCTGTTAAATTACCGATAACGGTATTTTGGCCTTTTTTGATCAACCGGTCAACTCTATATTATTTCTTTGGACCAAATAAATTATCCACCACCATATAAATGTTATATTGACCAATATGAATAAAATATACGGTCTCGGGAATATCGGGCGGCCCCCGTTCCCGGTGCGGGCCCCACGGGCGAATTTGCTATTTACGCAAAAAAAAAAAAACATTAATAAAAATTCACAACTTCGAATACTCGTTAACCATTCCATAAGTTCAATACATTATTTACTTAAAAGTAAATACTTTTTGGGGACGGTGTTACATATATAAACATGCACCTAATACTTTTAGTATCCGTCTCTGAATTAAAGTCTCATTTTGACTATTGAGTGAAATTTGTTAAATTTGATCTAATTACTCAAAATTTACAATATTTTATCACACAAAATTAGTTTTATGTGCTTCATTATAATATGTATTATATTATTCAAATGTCAATTTATTATAAGTTATATATGTATATATTTATAGATAATAATTGTGATCATTGCACAATTGTGTTTAAGTTACTCTAATGCTTTAGTCTGCTTTTTCCCAAATAAAAAACATGCATGTTAATAATATATGGTATAATCACTAGTAGAAAAAGGGCTTATAGTGACACTAATATAGTGTCACTGAAAGTTTCTGTGACACTAAAAAAGCGTCGGGAAAAGTGTCGGCTAGTGACACTAAATGTAGTGTCACTGATTGTAAAACATAATAGTGTCAGTAAATTGTGACACATTAATGTTGTACACAATAATGACACATTGGTATCATTATGCTTTGCGACTCGCTGGTATCATAGAAAACTACGACACATTAGTGTTAAATGTAATAATAATATTATAATAATCGTTATTTTTTTATTTGATACTAATTCGGTTAAAGATTATAGAAATAATAATATATAATCAAAATAAAAGGCTAGACCAACATTTGTATTTTCTTCTCAAATTATTTTAGTGTCAATAACATTAAAGTACAGTACAATATGTTATAAATCTACAATTTAACCATACAAAGTTTTTACAATATGCTATAAATCTTCAACTCTTACAAGAGTACTCAAAACTAATGAAGTATCAACAAAGTATGCCAAAAGGGGAGTTGAAGTGTGCAAAGAGGCGCTGATTTGCTCCGTCATAGGGTTGAGGAAGAAGTTCAGATTTTGTTCAATGATAAATAATGCTTCAAATTAAAGCTCTTGCTCCATGCCAGGCCACCTCCCTATGACCCTCAAGGTCTTCAAGCATTTCTTTATACGACACACAGGCAAATTAAATCAAGCACTTTGAAATCTGGGAAGCTGCTGAAATTTATAGAGCACAATGTCATTGATAGAAATAAAATTAAATCAAACACATTGAAATCTGGGAAGCTGCTGAAATTTATAGAGCACAATGTCATTGATAGAAATTTATAGTCACGTCGCATATAGTTGAATATTATCCCCTGAAAGAAAAACTACGGTACTGGAACACAAGAAAATGTAGTTGAATAATTTTCCATAAGAATAGAGATGTGATGACAAAAGAGCAGTTTTTAAACAAGTAGCTGAAAGCAACTTTCAAAGAGCAGTGAAGCCATTAAGCAAACAGAAAAACAATCAAAAGGAGATAACTTTGCTATAATTACTTACGTACATGTTTTTTACTTCTAGTAAATATTCCATATAATACCACCAAAACTGTCAGAATACAGACATGAGAAGAAAAAACAGAACGTTAGAAATATAGAGAACTCTGGTTTCTACATGATCGATTTAGCTTTTCCTCCCTCTGTACAAACTTGCATTTTCTCAACAAGATCAGCTTTATTCCCAACTAAAACATTTATACTCTTGCTCAATCTGGATTAAGAGACACTCAGACACATAATAGTGTATTATATTACCCTAAAAGTATTAAGCAGATTAAGAGAGCCAATTGCATATCAAACCTCAGCTCACCGTCTTATGCTCCTTTTGTTCCTTTTTCTTTACCTGACATACGTACCATGTTGGACTTTGAAAGTGGGCAAGCAATCTCATTCTTTTACTGAATATTATGTGCAATAGGTGTATTATTATATCGGCGAGTTTGAGTAGGCAGAATATATGTGTGTGTGTGCGCGCACGCCACTAGTTTACAAATACAATGAGCTTGAATAGGCAATTTGTTATATAAGAGTATCAAAATAGAAGTAAATCCCAATCATGTACACCTATTGGGCCACTTTTGCAATAAATCAGAAACTTAAGTGCATTGGGACTGCATTTATATAGCCCCTAAGTGCATACGTCTTATGCCAGTGAGGCTTTCACCTCTCTCCAACACATATGTACGCCTCAAAACCTTGGAAATAGTTGACAACACAGAAGATTAAAATTGTTGCAAGCAGATTGGTAACATGGGGAAGATTTTGCCAGTAGAAAGCCTCTCTGAGGTAACATTAAGTCAAACTCACCCTTTGTCCCTAGCTTTTACTTTTTATCATACCAATATATACATATAACTACAAATTTATCAACTAAGAAAGAGAAACAACAAAATTCACACAAGCCTCAAGCAAAAACTCTCAATAGCAATTGAATAATGAGACATGTAGTGAAAGAAGCAAGACCAATGAAGGTGAAAGCCAAGCCTTTTGTTGTAGTAAAAGAAGCAAGACCAATGAAGGTGAAAGAACCCAGACTATTGCTACAAATTAAAAAACATTTCACTCATTTGAGAAAAAGTGAAAAACACATTAATACCTTTATTTCAAGAAATGAGAATACACAACCCAAACTCAATTGAGGAAAGAATCTGTTAGTGTAAAATTCCTTCAAAAACATTGTATACTGAACGCCACTCATCACAGATAAAGAAAATATTTTTAAATAAACAGTATATTCAGGTAATTCAGCCTAAGTGAAAAAATAAACAGTATAATCTAAACAGAAAATATTGAAAATTTACCTCAGGTGGAAGATAGCTGATTGTTGGTTATGGCCGGAGAGCAGAAATCTGTGCGTCCTATTCACCGGTTGATGCAGAGTGGTGTGTAAAATGTTAGTGGAGAGGACCAGGTCTTCTTCTGTTAACCTGGAGCAGCAGTGGTCACTGTCAAAGTCGTCTGGAGGAGCACCGGCATCATCTTCTGTCAAAGTCGTCTGGAGGAGCACCGGCGTCATCTTCGTCGAAGTCGTCGGGAGCAGCTACGGGTTCGTCTTCGTTGAAGTCGTTTGGAGCAGCAGTGACGGCATCACCATCGAACTCGTCGGAAGAAGTGGAAATGGCATCTTCTTCAAAGTCGTTAGGAACAACAGCATTCGAGTCTTCATCCTTGGGTCCCTTTATCAATCGATGAATTAATTAGCTAGGGTTTGAAAAGGGAAAGAGGCGAGCAGATGCACAAGTCTGGAAGAAGATCGATTAGTTAAGTATTGAAAGGCTTCGTATTATTACTCCGTATAATAGACCATGCAGCCCGGCCCAAATAGTTATGCACGCGTTATAACTTAAAATATACTCCGTAAAAACGTTCAAGTGTCACTAAGTGATTTTCATATATTTGTGTTGAAAAATACTGAAAATAGTGACACTTTTGTGTTACTGATGACATTATTTCAAAAAAGTGTCACTATAAAAGTGTCACTGTAAGCCAGTTTTCTACTAGTGAATAATATAAAAATAATGATTTATCCTATATTCTATCAATGAGAAAGATCGAAAGCCAATGCAATACACGTAATACACTATATACTACGTATAATATAACCAATGATTAGTCTTCTCTTCCGAAGGTTAAGAGGAGTTCCGTGTGGAATTTTATTCGATCCCTCAACAACAATAGTGCTAGGTCATATATATACTCATATATAAGGTCCGCACCATAATTATTTTTAGGGGAAAGTCATAATGGTGCTAGGTCAAAAGGTCACTCAAAATACTCGCACTATTGTATTTCAGCCCTCTACTTAATTAACAACAATGTTTCCAGGTCAAAAGGTCACTCAATTTGATATTTTTCTATTCAATATTTTAGAGCTCCTCTAATAATTACTGTATGAAATAGATTGAACTGTTTGAATTCACTCAAATTGCGGAAATCCTCTCCTTAATAGCACTACAATTCCTAAAAACAATTTCCCGCTCACCCCCAACATTTCCTACTGTCCGTCCGATTTTAGTAAACTAAATCATACGGCTCCCGTTTACACCTCATTTCTGAAATCGCTATCTCCTCAAATGCATTGAAGAATTCATCATCTACAAGAAATCTCCTCAAATTTCCTCATACAGTCATATCATAGCTATATCGATGAATTCTTTTTCTCAAATCAGAATCAGCAAATCCTCTCCTTAATAGCACTACAATTCCTAAAAACAATTTCCCGCTCACCCCCAACACTTCCTACTGTCCGTCCGATTTTAGTAAACTAAATCATACGGCTTCCCTTTACACCTCATTTCTGAAATCGCTATCTCCTCAAACGCATTGAAGAATTCATCATCTACAAGAAATCTCCTCAAATTTCCTCATACATACAGTCATATCATAGCTATATCGATGAATTCTTTTTCTCAAATCAGAATCAGCAAATGTTGAGAAATCATCTAGCCGAAATCATTATTATAGGGATGTTGCCGTTTCCGAGGTCCACAAGCA